CTACATGTTATTTCCACAGTTCCTGTTCCAACATAGAAAGAGGATCTTTCCAATTCCTGTATGATGTGGACAATGTTGAGAAAGTTCGGAGAATTGAGTCAGATGGCCAGTGAGAAGCTTTCGGACATTGAGAGCAAAATATCCCGTTTTCTGGCCAAGTGTTGAACAGCGAGACAAGATCCTTGCTAGTGAGGCCCAATACATGTGCACGGATGTATTAACATGCTCATTATCCTATCATCCTGCCACATTATTATGGACTTTCCCATTTTCCTGCTGCCGGATACAAGCTAGATGGTCAATTCTGGATGTGAAAGTCAGCATATTTACCTGGCGAGCCCAGTTTGCTCCTCTGACCCTCTGTCACTCACCAGTATCTCAGGCTGTCCTCTATGGGCAGCAACTGTGCATGCCCCATGGCCTGATTTTAAAGCTGGAGCCAGAAATGCTTGGTGAGTACTTCCACCTGGGGCAGGTAGGAGAATATGGCAAGTGGTGCATCTAAAGAGTGTGCTTCATAGGTAGGGAGGTGAATTTGGGTAGGTAATGTGAGAAACCCCACTAGCGCTTGAGGTGAGAAAGCCCACTTGGGCTTGTGGAGAGAAACCCTCCATATCGCATGCCAAAATTGACGCTTAGGCGATTTCTTGTAAAATTCAGCCAAGAGTCTAACAAAATACCTATAAAATGAAGAAATGTCCTGAAGCTTAGCTCCTGTGATAATACTCCATCTGTAGGGTTGCAAAATAAGAAATGTGATTGTGATTACATGATGAGGCAGTTTGGTCAGTATGAATATTAGATTTTGATCAGGTAAGTTGTTAAAATTGAGCAAGTATGTGTGGGTGGCTACGTTGTTGGTTAGCATTCCAAGCATGAACAACCAGTGGGAGGGGAATGAAGTTAGCATGTCAGTGCTATCTGATCAGCTATATTGCAGCATTTTTTTTTTAATTGAGCTTTTCTGCAAGCTCCCAGGTTCTTGGCATCTGTACATTACCCTGTAAATTGTTTTTGCTTCCCTTTTGAATGCAGTACTCTTTAAATCATTTGATTTAGGAGAGCAAACCACACATTTAGAAAAAATGTCTAAGTATTTTACAGTGCAATTTATATCCTTGCTAGATTGGACAAACTTGTTTGCTGCCTTCTAACTTCTCTGGGTTTGGGAGTCGGGACTGCAGTTGAGCCTCTACTGGGGCAAAATACACCACAGGTAAAGAACTCTGTTTAAAAGAATGCAGCAACATAAATCCTACTTTAATCCAACTTTCCTTCTCACCTGGGATTTCTACAGGCTGAAGTCATCATATTGAGTTGCAAGGAGAGTAACATTGCGCACAGTTAATAACACCCTTCAGCTTATACTTGTAAATTTACTTGTACAGATGCAGTATAAACCTATTGCCTAAGATGTGTGGAAGAGATAACTGAAATATATTGGGAGATGGAAGGGAAATGAAAAAATTGTTCTATGCAATTTACTATAGCGAATATGATCCTGATCTTGGTAGGCAATGTTCAAATTGGGCTGTAAATAGAGTCTTTTTTGTAGGATTCTGGGTGTAGGTAGTCATTATGTATAGCTGGAAGAACCAAACTGCACTTGAAGCCTGGGTTTATGACAGCTGAGGTGTTATGAAATTAGAAAAATTCCATTCGTTTTAAGGCCTTCCAATTATTTGTGGAATAGTCCAAGACCGCGTTTGGCTTGGAACCACACAGGGAATCTTATCTGCCATTCCAGGTCTTAAATGGGCTGTTAGCCAGCAATGTGGCAATACTATCATCACACTGACAGCAGTCACCACACCTTCTCAAAGGTAATTGACCATGGATGCTTTCCTTGTTGGTAATGTTCATGTTCCAGTGATAGATTTTCTGAGCAAGATATTCAGACTGGGGGATGAAGGATTTGTTCCTGGGATGACCTTTGAAGCATACTATTACAATACTTCAAATAAACTGTACTAGGTAAAGTCCCCATAGTCACAGAGCACCACAGGCCTGATCTCTCTCAGAGAGAGAGAGAGAGAGAGAGAGATGACTGGTAGAGAGTTTAACCTGAGGGTCACCACGCCTCAGGCAAGAGATGAGTTTGAGAAGGTGGAACCTTTATGGTGACCTCATAGTGCGGGAATTGAACCCATCTTGTTGGAATCACACTGCGTCGCAAACCAGCCATCCAACCAACTGAGCTCACTGACTGTGCTAGGTACCTAGTCTCTCGTTGTTGGAAATAATGTAAATCAATTTATATTGGTGTCTCGATGTATAAAACTGGGCCTTCGAGTCTGCTCTGTTTTTCAGTAAGATCATGGTTGATCTACTCTACTCTCTGCTTCCCCCCCCTCCAATGTGTTGCAAGTTCCTATAAAACTCATGTGCGTGGGTCCTGTGTTGAGAATGAGGGAGAACTCAATAGTTGGGACAAGTGTCAGAGGTCTGGGAATATTTGGAATATCTTACTGGAAAAGAAGCCAATGTTACTATATATCTGGTCCAGAATCCATGTTGAGATCATTTCTACAGCATCTGTGCTGAATCTGAATGTGCCCTCACTTGTGGAAATTTAAGATTGTTTACTGCAACACATTTGGAAATAGCATCGTTCTGTTATGTATATAGTATTGACGATTCAAATTGTATTCAAAAAATTTTCATAAATGAAATACTTCTTGGTTGGCGCTTTGCTTTTTCTTTCAGTTTGTTTAAAGTAATCTCCAGAAGAGGAAATAATTGAGGCAGACTGGTTTATATGAAAAATGCCCTCCTTCACAACCCTGTAAACATACACATTCTGATGTTAATCACATAGTTGTTTCGAATGACTGACTACACATTCAACCCTGTGAAAAAGAGCTGTGTCCTTCAAAATGATGTAATCTGGTATGACTAATTGTTTAGATGACATGTATTTATCAAGTCAGCTTGACTCATGGGTATAAAAAGCAAAATGCTAAAGTCACTGTAGCTGATCAGAGAACAGCTGTTCCTCTGAAACTCTTTGAACTTGCATCAGAAGCGAGGAATGTGGTTGTTGTGTGTTGCAACTGAACTGGTGATTGTAACATACTTCAAGCTCCACTTTTAGATTAGCCCCTTGATCTTGAAAATTATTGCGTTTTTCATCCACAAAGGTCTTTTCTTTCAGCCTCAGTCTGGAAGCCTGAGCATATGAAATTTAAGAAATCCAGGACAAAATTAAACAGTCTCTCAGACAAATGTGGATTAGTTAGGAGATCCACGGATTTCTTTAAAGCAGATTGTTGATTGAGTTTATTTTTGATGATAACCAAGAGGATTGATAACAATAATTGGGTTGAAATTGTGAATCAAAGAAGTGTTATGGCATAAGAGGACCACCATGTCTGTATTGACTCTCCAATTGAGCATCATGACTTAGTGCTATTTTGTGAATAAAGATCATATCTTTTTTTATTTTTGATTGTGGACTGAAATGGGAAAAGGGCTGTTCTAAAAACCAAGGAATGTGGAAGGGATTGCTGTACATTTTAAAAGCAAGCTTATTGTAAGTGCTGTTTACACTGCTTTTTGTTCAACTTGGAGGGAGGCACAGTTTAGTTGCAGACAAACTGCATCAGAGAGAGTGTATAAAATGAGATTTTGCCATCTACAAGTAGCTGACTGGTCTGTGTAGTGATGACCAAAGGTCTCCTGTCTGCCAACAACTACATGATGTTGTTGAATAGCTTCTGGGTGTGAATGAGATACCAGAAACCATTGGAGCTCTGAAATTAAAGATGATGTCCTCTTCTCTGCCGTTTAAAAAAAAAACCTAAGGCTTGAAGAAAACCAATTTATTCTCCATCACTAGTTGCTTTCAACCAGTAATTCAGAGACCTTGTAATTTGTGAACTGGTTGTTCTGTTCCTCCTTGGAGGAAGTGATTAGCACTTAAATAGAGCGAGATTGATGAATAGCAAGTCCTGACAAGCCAAAAGGATCATCTCCGTGAACTCTATGGTTAGAGATCATTGAATTGCCTTCCCAGTTTTTCCATTCACCCATAACACCAGTGTTTTTGGGGTGTATGCAAACAAACCATTGAAGGTGTTAGGGCACGTAGAGAAAGTTATTAAAAAGGAATGTGTAATCTTGGAATTTATGAAGAGGGCATAAAGAACAAAAGTATTAAGGTTATGGTGAGCCTTTATGACACACTGGTTTGGCATCAACTGTGGCATTGTGTCCAATCCTCCTGTCTGTTGAGGAACACTGTGCTGAAGACCTTGCCAGCTACTGACAGCCATGTTATGTCTCTCCAGTTGGTGAGTCACTGAGTTTTCCTTGTTCTGATAGCTCAAGGATTACCTTCACCTTCATTTGTATGGAATGCCTACCACAGTGCAGATCTTGTTGAATAGGTCCATGAACTCAGTTTAAACAGAATTTATTATATTTCAATAGCTCTGTTCTTATCTCATCATTCCCAGGTGCCTTTTTGGTTTTGGGCTCTTTCTGGCTCTTTGTCTGATGTTCTGGCTGTTTCTCCCAGGTGGATGTTCGATTACCAAGGTACAGGGCAGTCATCGAACTCCAAAGAAAGAACTTTACAATTACAGACAGATAAAGGAAACATTCTAAATAAACAAAATAGTCTACATTTGGTTCCAGAATGAAAACATCTGTGGAAGAGATAGTACTTCGTGTAAAATACATCCGAGGGGATTAAATGATTAACTGATTAAAGGCTTTCCTCCTGTTTAAGAATAACTCAAGTTAAGTCGTTGTGGCTTATGTTATCTGAAGATGTAAACAATTTCAGCAATGACATTGCCACTAAGGCCAATAAAATGTTGCAGAAATTATCTTAGGTGATTACAAGTCAGAATCCATTCATTCTTACTCCATGCAACTTTGGATTCTGTGTGTGAAGCCTGCAATGGCTTTGATAAATCAAATACTGTCTCAGTTGGGTTTTCAGCAGTGCATGCTGCCTTTTAAGTGACCATAATGCATTTTCTTTCCCTTCTCAGAGTGTTTTCAAGAGAGTGAACATCTGAAAGAGAGTCTGAAGTGCTGCCTTATTCATCTCTTTGGGGCTGTTGTTGCAGGTGGACAGGTGAGACTAGTGTGGAAACCAGACACACCGCAATAAAGAGTTAATTTCACATTCAAAAACCAATAATTTCATTCCGATATAATGAAAGAAACAATCGTGAACAAATGCAAATTACTGCAGATAAATAGTCAGAGAAAATGCTGCAAATACTTCACAGATTAGGTACCATCTGTATAGGGAAAAACATTTAAGGCTGATGACTTCTGGTATGAACTTGAAGCTGCAGCTGCCTGGCTGACAAAGATATGGCAATTGAAATAAGACAGAAAAAGTTTGTAACAAATATAGGTGGACCGTCAAAGGTGTTTGACAAATGAACAAAATTTAGATGAATGAAATTGAAGTCCATGAGAATAGAAGATCAACGGCATTGTGGACAAAAGAAAATTGAGAGAGCAAGCATTGTGAAGTGGTGAGTGGTTGTTTTTCAGACCGGAGAGAGCATGAACACATACAAAATAGGAGGGGAATAAGATATTAGTCCACTCCACACAAAATATTAAACCTTAGCCACATATGAAGAAATTAGAGCAAACTGACTTAAAGCTCAAAGAGAGTGGTGTTAAGGAGCATCTTAAAGGAAGAAAATAGGAATGATATGACTGAGGTTTAAGGAGGGAATTCCAGATCTTTGGGCCCAGGAAGTTAAAGGCATAGCCACAAGTAGTGGAGACTAAAGTTCACAGTAAGTGGGCATCTCAGAATTGTGGAGCTGGTGATGGGAAGGGGTGAGGTGATAGACTGATTTGGAAAAAAGGATGAAAACTTTAAAAGAGACAACAAGGTGCAGGGCTGGATGAACACAGCAGGCCAAGCAGCATCTGCTCCTATGATGCTGCTTGGC